TGCAAAAAATTTTTTCACTTTTTTGAGAACTTGGGGGGGGGGGGGTGGCTTGGCCCCCTTGCCACCCCCGGTTCCTACGCCCCTGGACATATAGAAAATTAAATAGCGACAATGGACACGTAATTGTGAAAGAGACATGAAAGTAACCAAGTAGGAAAACAATGCCAATGGCTATTTAATGTAATAATTTACTTGTTCTCGCTAAGGGGAGGTGTCGGGCTGTCGTTAAGGGGAGGTGTTGCGCTGCCAAACATCCCCCACCCCCACCCCTCCCTGGAAACTGATAAATTAACTGAAATGAAGAAACGGAAAATATTCGATAAATGCACGACTTAGGTTAACCTAAAAAAGGTCGTCAAATTATGAACATTGTCATTTTTCGGAATGCACAAGTGAAGAAATTGCCGTCAAATGAAGATGTGATTGTGATATGAAAGATATTATAATAATCTTTAATGAAGAAATAATCCTTAACAGACGTAAGAGTTTTACATTTATGTAGGTTGCCAAGAAAGCAACGTTTTTGCAGAAGAATAGTCATAATTAGGCATTTTAAAAAAGGCTTGGTTAAATTGTTAAAATCATGATTAATTAAGAGTGCCAGAGGCAATTGGGCAAAATATATTTTTGATCCTCGCCAAACTACAATGGTGAATTTCGTCAGTGACAGTGTTTCTTTGCATGCGGTTAGGGACGGACCATTAGAAAAGTGATGGGGGGGGGGGGGGGGGCAAAACCAAAAAAAAATTTATTCACAGAAAAAAATTAGGGAAAAAAATCTTCCCAAGCATAGTGCAAAAAAAAAATTTCTTCCATGGAAGATAGGCCTATAAATTTTAATTAAAAAATATATATTTCCAGCCATCAAGTGAGAAAAAAATTTCTTCTATAGGTGTACAAAAAAAAAATATTGCCTCTTAGAAAATCCCCCTCCCCCATCACTTTTCTAATGGCCCGTCCCTTACTTATGATATTTCAAAAATTAAAAACAGGTATGCAGTACTTATAGCCTTATATTAAAGGTAAATTAATGATTGCCAAATTGAATTGTAAATAAATGTTGATATTGGCCATATTGCCTCTAGTACAGGACCTTGTCAAATAGCAGTTCTCTTAGCCTGCGAATACAGACTCTATTTATATCGCTTATTCCACTGGGGGGAAACGCGATAAATAGATCCATTTATCGCGTTTCCCCCCAGTGGAATAAGCGATATAAATAGAGTCTGTATTCACAGGCTACAGTTCTCTGAGACCTGAGAAATAGCAGTTCTCTGAGTCGTACGTCTCCGAGTCCGGGGGGGCTACATTATTAATCGTGATTTCAAGTTAGCAACAAATCAAATTCATTAAATATCATTAAACATCAACAGAGAAACATCAATGGTCCGTCCCATAGATATATCTATGGTTCGTCCCTAACCCATCGGACAATGTCGCCTCGTTGTCGGAATTGGTCGCGTTCTGTTCGACTGTTCGGAAAAGTTGATGACTGCCGAAGAAGATAAAATTTCGTCAAAATAGAACGATAGGCATGATCAAACTTGATTGTTGATGTTTTATACGAATACTTTTAAAAATTCTTATCCAGTTTTAATCACATTTTGCTAGAAATAAAGCCAAAGTGATAATCGCTCCAACGTTTGGCCACTAATCCAAGGCAATATATTCATTTCCGCTCGCGAAAACCAACGTGTTTTGTTGTTGCTGCGAAGGGAAGTGTCTTGAGATTGGGCGGATATTACGCGTTCATCTTCGAAATACCTCGTTTTAAAGGACGACGATCGCTTCCTCAAAGACTCTAATCTGCTTAGGTAAGTTTTCTGTCCATTCCTACGTTCTCTTCCTTTCCTAAATATTAGTAGAACCCGTTTAATCGCATCGGTAGGTGTTCGTGCGCTGCAATGTTGCATTTCAAAGGAAGTTGCTCACAGGAAGCTAGGCTAGCTTGGCTCTGTGTGGCGGGTTGCTCCGTTGCTGAATCTGCGATCATTCTTCGTAATCATTTATATGGCACGTTATTCCATGTTTGTATCAAATCTTCGTAGAGGGGCTTTCTTCCTACGGAGAAAATACTGCCTTCTGTGTGATCGCAAATATTAATAACAATCGAAGCATAGGTACATAAACCACCGTAGCATGAACGGCAGTATTGATATATTTTGTACCAAGTGTGAACAAGGATTTGAAATATGTTGGGAACACATTTGTTTGCTTGTTCTAGTGAGCCTTCTCTGTGAATCTTCTATGTAATTTAGAAAGCTTTTTGCTTTGAAATGTGTAGCAACTTCGCGTATACAAAAGTATCATGATTCCAAACAAAACTTGTCAGTTTTTTATTTGTTTATATCAAGGGAAAATGGGCAGCCATTATTGGTTGTTCCTTTTCTACAATCATCATTCTTGCAACCTGAGTTGTAAATATAATCCAGTATGGAATATAAGTGCTGTGCACCAGACATTTCCAGCTATACAGTAATATATTTACTAGTATTTGGTGCACAATGTCTGGTGCACAAAAAATGTCATTTCATACAAAGAAACATTGGGGCCGTTTGTATGAGCAAAAATAAGCCACGGCCTAAATGAGCTGCAGCTTAATTAAATAAGTCGCGAGCGACTTGTATAAACAGTCAATTTGTTTACAAGCTACAGCTAAAATAAACCCGAGGTTGAAAGCTGCAGCTTATTGCAAATTGACTGTTTATATATGAGCTGTCGTTCACTCAGCCAAAATGCTGCAGCTTGTTGTTGCTCATATAAATTAATGGCCCTATTCAGCACATATCCAATGATGCAATTATCCGAGCTGTAGTTTGTTGGCTACAGTAACTGATTAGAAATAATCAGGACATTTTCAAAATAGATTTATGGGGGTTTCACAATTCAAAACTGAAATGATGAACACCAAAGAGTGGGAGCTAGCATGCACCCAGCATTTCGGGACTTGGGTTTTAGTAAAACGGTCTGCAGAATGAAACAGATGATCCAAAAGCCCAGCATGGTCCTGAGGACAATTTTTCGAGGCAAACCTGAAAATGACATTTCCAGCCAGAGTCTGTATGATCAGGAGTGTAAGTTTGGACGAAGCCTGCCCCTGGTCCTACCGGAATTGGGTGCCCCAAGCAGTGGCATGCTGGGTACTATTTTTCTGGAGGGGCCAGTGGGCTTTCAACCAATATGCGCTCCTATAACTTTACGCTTGATAAACGAGGGCCGAAGGCACGAGCCGAGCGCCGCAGGTGCGCTCAGGTTTGTCTAGGGGGTCCGGGCCATGCCCCCCCTGGAAAATTTTTGAATTTAGAGTCTCTGAAATGCCATTTCCTGGACTTTGGGGGAAATCAGATGGTCAGGAAACGCATTTGACAGAAATCTGATGGTCAGGAAACGCATTATAACGTGTCGAAAATTTGCAATTTGGTTAGAATTTAGTAGTAGTTCTTAAATTATGTAATGCTAACTACTTCCAGCGATTAATCTAATCCCAATTCTGTTCTCTACTGATCTACTGTTCTGAACACATTTACAACTTACAGCGCTTTTATACAATAACACACGCACCACACGCATATGCATTTTAAGGTTTCCTTGCCTGGCTGCCAAAAGGGCGTGTTTCAGCATTATTTCATTACTTACATTATTCATGTTGTTTCTTGCGCAAACAACTAAATTGCGTACACAACTTTACATCAGTTATCATAACTTCAACTATCTAATTTGCACCGCTCTCGTGATTCATGAAGCATAATAAAGGGCATATATATAATATAAGGGCATATAATACCAGCAAAAAAGGTCATAATTCCCGTGATCACCAATATTCCGGTAATGAGACATTGCGTGTGATCACTGATCATGTTTCTATAGACTCTATATGAACGATTTCGTGTGAGCTGTAAGGTAGCAAATTAGCAAATAGGGTTACACAAAATAGTCTGTAATTTAATGTATGACTTAGTCTGTTTACAAACATAAAAACCCATCTTTTCTTGGCGGAAGTAACTATATTTTTTCGAATGCGTTTATCCCACCCACTTTCAAAATTCGGCGCCCCCTTTTCATTTTTGCGCCCCTCAAGAATTGCCAGCTGGGGGGGCATGGCCCCCGGCCCCCCCTGCCAGCACGCCACTGGCCCCAAGGCAGGGGTATCCTAGATCCTTTTGAAGTACCATGAAGCTCTTACAATAATAATATGAACATTTTGCTGGTCGTTTAGAAGCAAATTTTAATGGTATCTTGAACTGGAAACATAAATATATAGTAAAATATATAACAAAAAACCACAACTATGCAGAAATAACACCATGCAGAAATTGTTTTTGACATAAACAGTGAATTGTTTGCCACTGTACTTATGCACGTACAACCTTAGATGAACAAGGCCCCCGGACAACTCAGTTCAGGGTGCCCCCTGGAAGCCTGGGTGCCCCCGGCTCTTACCGGGTAGAGCTCATAGGAGTTACGCCACTGCGTATGATTCACTGTTTCTCGAATAAACTCTTTCGTAACCATTTTTTATGGGCATATGTATGTAGCAGGGGGGAGGGGGGTTATTTATGGGGGCTTACAGAGTTACTGTATATATGGACAACATTTGATGTTTAAGTAATAATATTTACAGTATTCTGCCTGTAAACTATATATACCGTGAACGAAAAGAAATATATTGAACATACATGTACACATAATAAAACCAGTTGGTTAACATGTTATTATAATACTGTAATGTAATTATTGTTACGTCCTCTGAGCTGTTGAAAAATATGTGTCACTGCCTTTAAAAAATAAATACCTATATAGCTTTCCAATAATTAGCCCATGGGCTTATGCTGTACACAGGGGGGTTTATATTGGAGGGGAGCTTTTATTAGGAGGTTTATAATGGTAAATCTCTACTCATTAAAGTTGTCTTACTAATTAACAGACATATACATAATTTATGTACTTTCAAATAGTTATTTTCTTATTTCACTCGAAATGTCTAACATGGGGGGGGGGGAGGAGTGGAGGTGGAGATTTTCAATGAATTGATGAAAATAATTAAATACAACCCGTTCCCCATGTATAAATTGGTGAAAAGTTGTGATCCTCTCCTCTGGGGCTCATCCGAAAATAGTGTAATCCTCCCTCTGCCAACAGAGGTATATTAGCCAGAATCTTGACTTTGAGGGGCGGGGCCAAAGTAAACATAATCATTTGTTTTGTGACCAAAATTGAATAAAATTGTTGAACTTGGAAAAAGGCTAAAAATTAGACTTGTTAATTTAAAAGTATAATTATATTTAAACCCATCTCCTCTGTATTATGAAACTGGTCTAGACTATAGTAATTAGCACTTTAATAATTTTGTCCCAACATGCATTTCTTTCCCGTGGTGGATTTATATGGGTGCATGGGGGTGAACAGGGATGTGCACCCCTGTTGCCTTGATGCAAGGCAGCTACATATACTATATGATGCGCTACATGCTATATCTCGAGACTCTAAATTGGCTTATTTTGTTCAGTCGTCACTTCAGTAATATTTACTGAGTGAACTCACCATAAAAAATCTAGTCACATACTGGATTCTGAACGTCAGAAAGTCGGCACCTGAAATAACGCCTAACTGTCGGACGTTTTCCGACACACATTGGCAATTGCTGTTTTAGAGACAATCTGTTTTAAATTTTTTCAAAGACAGATTTAAGTATCTAAGTCTAAAGACTGGGTATGAGGATACTGTAGGAATTACAGTATCACAACTATTCAGAAGTCAAAACATTCCATTTACATAATTACTGCTGTGAAAATTACCCAACGGCTGCCGATCTTACCAAATCTGAAAATTTCTGATCAAATTTGAAATTTCACTTTTCTTGGAATTTTTCCGGACATTTTTGGACCGTTTTTCAGGCTTTGCCTTTGGACGTGTTCATTATTTTATAAACAGTTATGTTAAATTTATTTATTTATTTAGTAATTTTAATGTTTTTGTTGAGTGATAATTTGTCTTGTTCTATATATGTTATTTGCCGGCTTCTTCTGACATGTCATGCAATTAACCTTTGTCAAAAAACAAAAACTTTGAACCAAGGTTTAATATGCTATGACCTTGATCATAAAACAAGACGTGAATTTGCGCATGTACACCGTTAGATATTACGGACTTTGTGATTCGCCAATACCAAATATCGATACTACAAAAAGATTCGATAGTTTCCATCAGTGGCGGAAACTAGGGGGGCGATCGCCCCCACAATAATTTTAGCTAGCTTTCATTTTGAAAAATGTAACATGCGGGCCACGCGCTATACGTGGCCAATAAGGAGCTCTCGTAGCCTCATGACGTTAAAAATTACGCGTATACTGTAGAGTGTAGGTGCACTTTTACCTTAAGAATCGATTTCTGGCATTTCCAGAGTCATACGATAGAAACGTCGCATTCTTTTGACGTTTTGAAAATGTATTTCCGGTTGGGATTAGCTCACAGTTGGACCAGAAATAGGAATACCGTGATAAAGATGCAAATTTGAAAATATATGCTCGAAAATGACACTCTAAATAGTGTTTTTGATAGCGAGTCGAACAAGACTATTACAAAGAAGATACGTCCGAAGGGGCTGAAGTTATGTTCGGGGAAAGGTATGGCTAGTCTATATTATTATGATCTCGCTTGACTTTCAAAGGCCATAAATCGCTACAATGTTGGCAGTGACAAACTATCGTGAGGAATTAGTTGATGTTGTTTCACTGAATCGAATGGTGGTATTATTGTCTTCATAGCATCCACTGAACCGAAGATATAAACATACCGGTACAAAGTCGTCAGCTTCTAGAAGTTGACATGCGTGGGACTTGTTGAGAAAGAGTTAAACCACCTTGCAATTCCATTCACAAATGTATTTAATCATCTAGAATATTTTCTCTGATTTATGCTTAGCATATGATATAACATTATAACAAAATGCACCATTAAATTGTTTTGAAAACCTGAAATTTCTTACAAAATGTGCTCTCAGAATGCTGCAAATGAAATTACAGAAATTTGCTGCAAATGCCATTTCATATCCAAATTTTAAAAAATTTTCTGGGGGAGCATTCCCCCATACCACCTAAGAAACCTCGCCCCCTCCCCCCAATATTTCGCAAAGTTTCCGCCACTGATTTCGATACTTGGGAAAAGTATTGGTAATTTTGATACGAATTGGGCCTGCGATTTTGTCAGCATTTAAAAATCACAGAAATGTAGTGCGTTTTTCAAGCAGTAATGCATAGTCACAGGCCTTCCAGGGTGACTGGGTCGGTGGGCCTAGCGAAATGATCAGCAGTTGTTTCCATCTACCAAACTGACGTGACGTCATTTTCGGCAGATGGAAGAGGTGTTAAATGGCTATGTATATAGTAGAGAAATGCAAATGGTATGGATTCAACAGCCTGAATAATACATTAATTACAAGTAAAACTTCGAAGTTTCGAGCGAAGACCCTTCGTCGGGAAGTTAGCTGACCTACGCTGGCACAACCGTCCAGATTTATATTGCGTTTGCTTTAAAATGGTGCTTCGCGCGGTTATTAGAGTGTCTGTTAGGAGAGAGGTTTGACTGTACCGTACTACTTTAAAACCCCTAAACAGGCTCGTTCATCATCTTACAGATAATTTTGTGGTGAAGACCAAAACCTCTCATGGATCCTGCCCAGTTATCAGATTCTGCAAACCTACTGTTATCGGCCACTGGTGTGCTTACTCCTGTCTCGCAAGTGCTGACAATAGCTGTAGATAAAGATTCAGATGAAGTCGAGACATTACCACAAGCTGAGACTCAGATTGAAGTGCGAGTTGGTGAACCTGAGGAAAAACTACAGGAGGAATCTGTAGCCACCTTGCCTGACGAGCAGTTGAGCACCATATTAGCTGGTAAAAGTCTTGCAACAGAGACATTTTCTAGCAAGCCCATGGACAGAACAATACCTGCGTTGACAGAATCACAAAGTGCCATGGCAGCCGATAATGTGCAATTTGTTATCGTGAGAGTAAAAGCATCAGAACCCGTAGGACTGGTCAGAAAGTTGGTTGCTGATTCTATACATGTACCAGTGGAGACATGTACTGTGTTTCACAGAGACCTTCAGGTTAGTGAATTTTCTTGTTTCCACGCTGTGGATAGGTAAAGTTTACCACATGTAAACCTGACTCTTAAAAAGTTTAGTTAAAAAGTTTTAGTACTTTAGTTTTAGTCTAAAAGTTTTAATACTCTTATTTATTATGCTTGTTAACGTTCGAAAAGAAATATATTGTTAAGTGGAATTTGAGTATGAATTCAAAGGCGGGGGGTGTGTTTGTAATAGTGGCACAGTATTCAGACTAGCGTTCAAATGTAGTTACACTGGGCCAATACAGACGTGATTGCCCTTAAGGTTGTAAACAGGACACCCTTTTTGGCGTTTTGCGGAAAATCGCTACTGCGCGCTCAAAATCAGTCCGATTTTCATCAAATTTTCACCAAATGTTAGCCAGTGCATGCAAAATATGATAAAGTTGTAAAATTGACAAACAATAAAATAATGTAAGAATTATTCAGGAAAATCTTAAGTCGCGGTTCCTTTACGCTTTTGAGTTATGTTCCTGCTGGTTGTTAGCCTGCCAACAGGCTCTCAAGCTGAATTGAGAGCCTGCATCGATGATTAATGAATTTGAATATCTGCCCCGTAACGTTCGTTTTTCCAAATATGGAATGTCTATCCTTATATGGTGTTGTTTACAACTTTCGTGCAAACTAAATTTAGACCGTACAGTTTATACTGTTTTTCGAAATATAAGATATTCAAGCGAAAGTTCAAATGTTTTAAATATTGTTTTCTCAAAACAGAACATTTTGTGCTTTGAGATAAGACGGCCAAGACCAATTTGATCAGTTAATGTGTTTTTTATGCATAATGCTCTTAGCAGTTGACATATAGAGCACAGCGGAAACATATAAATTATAGCATCTGACCAATGAGAATTTCGCGTCGTGATTTGAGACGCAGATATTCAAATTCATTAGTCATCGATGCAGGCTCTCAATTCAGCTTGAGAGCCTGTTCGCAGGCTAGCTGGTTGTAAGATATATTTATGAAAATATCATTTTTATACAGTAAAATAGTTGTTCTAAAAAATTGTGTTCGGAAATTTTTGTTTATGTCGTCATTCCGCTGATATGGCGATTTTTTTGACGACTGCAATATATTTCTGAATCATCCCATCACATGAATCTCCTTATTATTAAAATATCCAAAATTAGAACAAAGCCGAACACAATTTTGAAACTGACGTCTTTAGCTATGTCCTGTGAAAATTTGAGAAAAATTCGTTAAAACCCGCAGGAGCACAACTCGTTTAAAAATCAGTAATTGCCGTAAAATTCTTCGGGAGAAAATTGAATTTGAATATTACATTTTCAATGTTTTTCTTATTGCAAGCGAAATGTATTTTATTAAATAACTCCGACAGTGTGAGTTTTCAACATTTTTCGTCCAAACTTGGTCAAAGGCAAACTTAACACTCAAAGGTGTTCTGTAACCTTAATGAAACTCTCAAGAGAGCAGATGAGTACAGTACGTCTGATAGATCTACTGTGTCCAATATATTAAAATTAGTTTAGTTTAGAATCTAATGATTGTGGTGTTGGAACTCTGAGTGGCTGCACGGCCGGGTAAGCTGCAAAATTGCTCGACCATGATGGGAATCAAACCCGCGACCTTTGATGTGCTTGCTCATTTGCTAGTAGGGTTTCCACTATTTAGTGAAATTCAAGGATTTTTCCTGGACTATCAAGGACATTTTTCAGTTAATTCAAAAGACCTAAAGACGGATTTTACTTTTTGAAACACTACTTTTTATTGAAAAGCAGTAGTCTAAATAAGTGTTCAAGTATTGTCAGCACAGTTGAAAAGAAATTCCAGAACATTCAAGGACTGGATTTTTTCAAAGACTTTCCGGGATTTTTCCAGGACCGTTGACACCCTGTGCTAGAGCATTGGACTAGGAAACCAAAAGTCGCGGGTTCGAATCCCACCGCGATGAAGCAATTTTTCAGCTAGCCCAGTGACGAACTTGAGTAGCGTCATCTAAAATAGGTTGCCTTTTTTATATTGACGTATAGTTATTTTGTAACCTGCTACTTTTTCTCTTGTTAAGATGGACGATGCCTTGGCAATTGGTACTCACTGTGGCAGTTTGGATGGAACAGTTACATTGAACATTCAAATTAAAAATGGTATGAACGTGATTACAATGTAATACGATTTTGAGAATTTTTATGGAAAAAGTTTATGTAATATTTTGGAATTTCAATTAGTCTGGGCATTTTGGGACAATTCCAGTCCTTAGGGCGAGAGGATGCCTGACCATTCAGGCTATTGAACTAAAATCTCATTTAGTCATCATTTTCGGGTCAGGAATCATCTCAAACTCAATAATTCACGAGGAAATCAGGCCAGGTTGCTTTATTTTGCTTACTGCATCAGTCCAGGACTCAATCAAAATTAATTCAGTCCCAAGACTGGATCAAAATTAATTCTGTCCCAGGACAGGAACAAAATTATTTCAGCCTTGGGCTGGTATATTATGGATGGGATTAATATATCTTATGCATATCTTGTTACTATAGTTTCAGAAAATGGCGAAACTACAAAAAGAATGGATATCGTCGCCATTCATTTAGCAGAGGCTGTGCCTGAGAATAACAATCCAGGTCAGTATAGTATATCTTGATTAGTTAATCGATACCTTCATGCATCACTTAGTAATAGATTGCGAATGCATATTTACCAAGTATAGACCCATTGCACTGACGTCACAAGTCCTTAGAGTGTCCTCCAGATGCTACCTAAAAAATATCTGATCGGGTACAACAACCACATACAGCGCAAAAACCAACCATTTTAATACAAAATTATTATAAAGTTTTTCAAAATTTGCTTTGTTTACAGAAGTTATATTATGCATAGATTGCTAATTTGTCCTCCAGATGCATCGTCACCGGCGCTGTGACGTCATGTGCAATGGGTCTATACTAGGTATATAGCCAGTGGCTTTGAAAGAGTGAGAGACCTATAGGAATCTGGTACCAAATATCACAATTCACGAGCATTGTTTAGGAGCAAGTGGCAAGCATACAATCACACCCATAGAACGTAATTGTCATATTAATGACTATTAAATAAAACTTAAGCTAAAGTTAGCAATATCTAGCAAGCAATATATGATTCTGTATACAATGTATGCCAATGATGCCACAACATTCGCATTTTATACAATCTGTTTTGTTGTGTACGATTCCTTACAGCTCTACTGATAAAATATTTTAAACAATCAGAATTGATAGTTATACTGTACATTAAACAACAACACTGATCAACATGATTAATTGATTATCCTAGAAAAAGTATCTAATGTCAGTCGACTCAGTCTAATTGCACGACTCGGGCCTCTTTATTCATTTTACTGAAACTCTTTGGCATACTGTATACATGTTGAAAATTTCGCCGCCGCCCCCAACCCACCCCCACCTCCAGTGAGGAGAGAATACTATTACATGAAAACATTGATAGCCTCTACCAATGTTTTCATGATTGTAAAATTGTTGTTACAGCTGAATTACCTATAGTCATTCAGCTACCGTTCAAAGGCCTTCAAAAATTATTGCGGAGGGGGGGGGGGGGATTGCCCCCAACAGTGTCCGCCACTATACAGTACATAGTGAGTAATGAAGAACATTGGTTTTCTTTGATGTATCGCGGGTTGTGAAAAGCATAAAGCTCTATGAATGTCAATTAGATAGAAATCAATTACTATGTAGCCAAATCTTTCTGCAGCTTTCAATCTGAATGATGCCAATAAAGATGAAATCAAGACAGAAAAGATTGCAGGTCCAACTCCAGCTAAACGAAAAAGAAAGTCATCAAGTGGTAAAGGTAAGCTTCAGAACCACATTAAATTTTTGTTAAACGCAAATTGTTTCGCAATGAATTTTTGAAATGTTGAAGTGACCATATTCCGTAATACGTTCTTTGAATGTTTGTATGGCGATATTACAATATACGTTTCGACTTGTCGAAAATACCACGTATCTTACTTGTTGCAATGCTTTCGATATATTAATTAATAGCACGAATGAACATCCAGGCCATATGGGTCGAAAGCTTTGCATTAATATGTATTTATATATATACGTAACGTGGTGTTTTCCACAAACCAAAACATTATGTTGGTATTTATATCTACACGAGTTTGGTAAAGCAAACTGACGTTTATTTGTAACTCTTTTAGTGAACATTAAATCCCCAACCACGGCTATGGCAATAGCCAAAACAATTGGCGATGGTCTTATCACGAGCCCAACTGGTAAGTACATTTTACAGTAGTTGTAATGGTATTCTATGTGGAAGATGGTCCCATGCAGTTGTAAGAAGGGACCTTGTCCAAAGGTTTTACCAGGAGTTAAGTTCTTCATGGACAGTCGAGAGGAATGGACTGGAAACACTAATGCAAAAAGCTGTCGTCATTCGCGCGACATCCATGATATGGACTATAGCCCTCTAACCCTGTAATATAAGAGGAATATACAATACAACATTATATAATTCAGTCCTTGGACTGGATCAAAATTCCTTCACCTCACTTTAAGTATAATGATTTATTCGTATGAGGTGTCATTTCAAATCCTCCAATACGGACTGGACTTAGATTTCAAATTGCGCGGACTTAAAATCTAGTCCAGTCCTATAGTCGATTATTTGAACTTCACGAAACTGTTATTAACTGTGTGTGCCTTTCATTTTATATTTGGCAAAAATAGCCGGCGAACTGCCATGATAATAGAGGTCTTAAGATTGCTGTTTTTCTCGTTTCCTTGCCATCTTGTTTAACGTTTGAGATTCACGTTTTAACTGCTAGAATACGATCTTGAGGTTCGTGAAATACGACAGCATCTTTTACTGTATGCATGGTGTAATCACACGTTCAAAGCTCAAATTTACTTTTTTCCTATCATGTACTAATTACTTTAGAACATTTTTTATGTATCTCTCAGGAACGGGATTTTTGAAACCAGAGTGTGGTTATGTATAAAAAAACATGGCTTCGTCCTATCCTGTATAATTTTCGCCATCTTAACTCTGAAAAACGATTCACGGACGTCGTTTATTTAACAACGTCCGTGAAACTTCAAACAGCAAACCGCTAGCCGAGGTTTACGGTTTACAGCGAAAACGTCAATCTTAAAATCTCTAATTTAATATAGGCGTACAACAAATCAGCCATTGGTATTGTCAAAGCGAGCGAGATATCACAGATAGCACTGCGAAAAACACACTTGGCGTTTCCAGCCCATTTTTCTCGATTATCTATGCTGCTCTCAATTCCTGCGTACCGCATCACATGATCATTCCCGAGCCGACGGCGCCAAGCGCCGTGCGAGGGTACTGATTCCCCCCGGCTATTTACACCCGGGGAAACGAAAGCATTAGCGAAGTCTAAAGTTCATCAATTTTCGCGGGCGTGGGTCACCAACGATGTTGGGGTGTTGGGTGGGTGGTCATCCTCACTGATCTCAAAAATATGGCGGACTGTCATGAATAGCGGACACTGATTGGTCCAATTTAAAGTTTGCATTATAACGACTGCATGACGACAGCGAAATAGCAAACATTTCTTGATTTGTCATTTGATGATTGATAAATTTCTTGCAAATATATTTCATTTTTGCTCGCATTTTTGCAAGATTTTGTAAATTTAAAGAAAGAAAGGGCGAAAGAATCGGCTAAAAGAAGGAGCCGACGTTAACGAAGGTAAGTTTGTTTTGATATTGATTTTATAATTATTTAAAACCCAACGGCCTTTGCGTATATGAAACAACTAAACAAGACAGCATATAATTTCATTGTATCTTTAATATTGATTCCCTTTTTTATGATATTGAATTTTTTAAATAAAAAAGAAAGCAAAGTTATTTGCAAGCGAGAATTTGAAATAAGTTTATTGCAAACTCAAAGTTTATCGATAAAGCCATTTTAAAAGGCAGTTTTGTTTTATAAAGAACACTAATGACTTTAAAACGTTTTGCGAAGCGTTTGTGGTTGAATTTTACCTTAAATTGAGGCTTATATTACGTATAATAGCATACCTAACATATATATGTTGGGAAATTAATAATTTTGTAATTAAAAGTGATATTTTTTAATTTTTAGGGACGGACCATTAGATATTTGAGGGGGTGGTTGCAGAAATAAAAAAACAACGAGCAAGCCTTTATCCTTAAAAAAAAAAAAAAAAAAAAAAAACGTGCGAGAAGAAAACTTGAAAAAAAAATTCGTGCAAGCATCCATCCTATGCCAGTAAACTCCAATTCCTGGACCCCTATTTGGAACTTCTGAATATAAAATATGAAGAATACATAGATTGCCGAGACAATCCTGATGATCACCCACCATTGCATTATGCAAAGCTTCAAAATTTGTGAAGGCACAGGAGTTTTAAAAATTTAATAAGGCGACGAAACCTGCGAACGGGGATACAGGCTGTATGGCCTGCAGAGGAAGTAGGGATATACTTTGGGTCCTAGGAGTCCTAGCCCCTAGGGCTATGCCCAACCCCACACGTAGATTCATTATAGCTGCAAGATATGAAGTACATACTAGAGAGTGTTCGACAACCACCGAGTCTGAGAGCGCGGATAATCTGCCTTGATTTGTTGCATATTAATAAATCAATTAATACCACAGAGTAAACACATTTGTTTATTCTGTGGTAATACAGAAGCCCGGAACAGGTCTTCAGATTTCCGACCAGCTTGCCGCCACTTCTGGCTTCCATCTCTCTAGCTACCTGTACCTCATGTCAAAGATGGTGTAGATGAATGTGGATAAGTACACGCCTTAAAATTATGACCTGTTAATTCTTAATTATTAAATCAGGACCTGTATTTTTGTTCAAAGCCAATCGTCTACAGTTTGTATCTCTATGTAACTGATTAATATTTGAAACTTTGCCGGAAACAGTGGCGTAGCAATGGGGCGACCGCCCCCAATCGCCACAAAAACCTTTCTCTCAAAAGGCTAAATCCGTGAAATGGGGGGGGTACACGTCACATGCTCGAAGTTGAAACTGTTTAGGTATGTCTCGAGTGAGGAAAAAGACGATATACTGGAGGAACTTGATTTGTAAAATCTCTTTAAAGCATTTATAGTTTGTAGATATGGTTCCAAAAAGAATAGATTTAGTTTAGATTTTTAACTGTTAATTAAATACATGTATGCATTATCATAGCATGAATATTCCTTCCCAGACTTATTCTGTATTGAATAAAAAGCAACGCAATTTTGAGAAAGGTGTCTCATAGAACCTAGAATGATTTAAATGCAACATTTCTGATCAAAATCACATGCTCCCCCCAGCATCACAGAGGGGAAATAAGGTGACACTGACCCCTCCTTCTGTTTTCAAGGTGACGTTTCCAATTTATTTAATTCCGAGTAGAAATGTCTGGAAAATTCATGTCTTCGATGTACTTTATAATCTTCGGAATTCTGCTAGATTTCACCCCCAAAATGCTTCAAATCGCATTTCAGGGACTCTAGATTTCTCACGCCCACCCAAAAGTGAAGGTTTGGCTACGCTACTGGCTGGAAACGAAGCAGTCACTGTCGAAAGGGCCTGTTTACAGTATCAAATTTTCTTTCAAAGATATTGCAACCTGCCCCTATTAAAAACTACAAATAAAAAAATTCTTGCAAGCGTTTGACTATTAAATGAAAAAAAAAGCGTGCACAACATGTGCGTCCAAAAAAAAAAATCCTGCAAGGAAAAAAGCTGCAACCACCCCCTCAAATATCTAATGGTCCGTCCCTTAGGCGATTTTTCATTTGTAAGAATATTCTTAAAAAATTATCGTGTTACCATGACAACTACTTTAGATACTTCATGTTCGGAAAATACAATGGTTTTGTCGGCAAGGCGAGGGTTTCTGCATGCATGCATGCATTTTCTAGTAGTCTAAGATTTTCAACTCATTTTACTTTTTATCTATAGGTGAAAGTTCGGATGGTCAGCTAACGTCACCGGAAGGACGAACACTGACTGGAAGCCGAAGTGGTAAGTTCAGTTTGTATGTCTTTCATGCGTTCATTGGTAGGTTAGTATTCAACTTCAGAAATTTTGTCTCTCGAAAATCCATAAAATGGAAATTGTATGGACCTTTATTGGAAATAGAATGGATTTTTGATTATCCATAATAATTTTATATTTCCATACTATGGATATAGTATCGAAATAGTATGGATATACTATGGATTTAGTGGCGCAATTGCAAATCTCATAGTATGGATTTCACATTTTTTCCCGGTGATTGTCTTGTTCTAATAACAGCATTTGACAAAACGATTGCAATCTGCAGCACAATTATGCTTAGTGAAATCTACCTATATTACACATTTCCCACGCTTAAACAGGGGACGTTTTTGAATTGAAATATTTAGTAGGACGTGCATGTGTGAATGATATACTACTAGCTAGGCTCGTTTCTTCGTTCAAAAATGTTCGCACTGCTTGTTGCTGCTTGTACCCAGTTGTTGACAAGTACAGGGCACAGGATAACGGGCGATAGGTCTCCGGTCAAAATGACCGGTCAACTTGATTTTAGCTCGGTCAAAAACAGATTTTGATACGGTCATTGATACGCTTACACTAACAGTGAAACAAACTATTAGAAACTTGTTTCGATACATCATAGTTTCATGTTTTAATTCAAGATGTCAGCAATCACATTGGAAGGCATGAAAATGTGGCTGGTCAAAATGACCGGCGAGGTAAAAAAGTGACCGGTAAAGAGGCATTTTTGGCCGGTCATTGTCCGTTGACCGGCCGTTATTTTGAGCCCTGCAAGTATGGCACAAGTTGTTATCATCTGGTACAGTAGCAAAGCTTGATGAGGCCAACAGACTGTTTGCATGCATGTAACTAGTTGATGGCAAGCTCGTACCGACAGTTTGTTACCGTCATCAAGCTTGTAAAAAGGTGACAACAACTTGTTCCAGACTTGTCAACAAAACTGGGAACAAACGGTGCGAACACTTCCTGTCAACCTTGTTACAGGTACAAATTGTTTACAGCTTGGGCGTTTTTACGTTGTGTAGTAGGATAACATTTTCATACTGACTCTGAACTTAAACGTTTCCATTTATGAAGCAGGCAACAACGGTCAAATTCAGTTATGGCAATTCTTACTACAGCTACTGACCGACAAGGATAGCAGACATTTGATCATGTGGGTTGGCGATCAAGGTGAATTCAAGTTGAACCTCCCAGAGCAGGTTGCCCAAGAATGGGGAAAGAGAAAGAACAAGCCTGCTATGAATTACGAGAAATTAAGTAGAGCTCTGAGATATTATTATGATGGTGATATGATTCATAAAGTACATGGCAAGAGGTTTGTCTACAAGTTTGTATGTGATCTCAAGAGTTTACTGGGTTATTCCGCAGCGGAACTTAATGCTCTTGTTAATCAGATGGACACTACTTATCATCAGCTGAATATCAATGGACATCAAACCTGAGTGCTGCGTGTAGTTTAATGTGTGTATCAATAGAATAGTTCAATGAACTTTTTTAATGTATCATAGCCCATCCACTGATCTGAAATGTAACTGGATTATTTTATATACCTACATTGCGCCAACATATCATCAACTCAATGTATACTTGCAGTGTGTAGTTTCAGTGGTGTAATTTTAGTGGTGTAACTTCCCATTATGTAAGTTAGTTAGTTACGACATATGGATCTTGTCCCAAGAATGAAGTTTAGTCGCCTGGCGGAAATAATTGATTTTAATAGTAAATTGCTCAATAGACACCCGAATTTGCTTGACTGCACACATTACTTGCACACTGTAGTTTGAAATCGAGGCGGACAATGTAGTGCATTGTAAATAAGTAATTGCAGCGAGCGAATGCAGAGATTGTCTATTCGCAGCAATTTGTAGGTGATAACTGTTGCTTTGAGATGGACAACGTTTTCTGATAACTATACCTGTACTGGCCCGACGTAAAGTGCAAAAAAACGTTGGTTTAAGTAGATTAAAATGTAGATTAAAATGTTAAATTAACTTTTTTAAATATACATGTATATCATCATATATAATCCTATAGTTACATCACAGCTTATAACGCAGTGAAGAATATGCAAGTCAAAGGGACCTTTTATAGTAATAATAATAATAATAATAATAATAATAATAATGAAGTGAACAGGTTTGGTCAGCAGATGAAGAATCCAAAAACATTCGACTGTAAAATTCATCTTCTAATATGAGTGTTGGCTTGCACACTGTGAATTGTGTACGTACACATTCATTATACTAGAAAATTTGCCCATTATCCTATTCCTGAATTCCCTTGACTTTATCCTATTATTCCCAAGTCGAACCAACGTACAAAAATTATATGTACATGACGTGTTTACAAACAGTACGCATGTGCAAGCTGCTGGCCGCGGACGGATGGGGCATATGCTAATTACATAATTTACGTTGGCACAACACGTCACACCCAAACGTTTGTCTGTTTAAAAACGTCATGTGCCACTATAGTGTAGCCTGCGAACAGGCGGTTATTAGAAGACCACCGAGCGAAATATTTCCAATCCCTGCATGCTAAACATACGTTATAGAAACTGAACAGAATAACATTTTACAAAAATTAACAAAACTTGAAGAAAAAACACCAAATAATTTTCTTGATGAACCTATTTCTGAAGTGGAAGTTTTGAGTGCTGCAAAGACATTAAAAAACAACAAATCTGCTTATTCCGGCAGGATAAAAAACGAAATGCTAAAGCATAGTGTCAAAATATTACTTAAATTAAACCATAAACTTTTTAACCTCGTTTTAGAAACTGGACATTTCCCAGTTCAATGGTGTGAAGCTCTCATTACGCTATTTTTTAAGTCAGGAGACATGGGCGTACGAGAAGGAAAAAATTAGGGGGGCGGAAAGAAATTTGCCAGACTTTTTCGGATTGTGCCCGAGTTGCCAAAAAAATTTTTCCGGAGAAACTTTCCAAAATTGTTGTCGACGGGGG